TGCAGGTATCTCTTTGATACACTGTGTTCAAATCTTTGGGTATATACCCAGTGGTGGGGTTGCTGGATCATATGGCAAGTCTGTTTCTAAAGAGATCTCCACACTGTTTTCCACAGTGGCTGCACTAATTTACATTCCCATCAACAGTGTATAATTGTTCCCTTTTCCCCACATCCTTGTCAGCATTTATTACTGTCTGTGCTTTAGATTTTAGCCATTCTGACAAGGGTGAGGTGATGATATCCTATTGTGGTTTGGGTTTACATTTCCTTGGTGACTAATGATGTTAAGCATTTTTTCATACATTTGTTGGGCATTTGTTTTCCTTTTAGAATTATCTATTGAAATCCTTTGCCCATTTCTCAACTGGATTGGTTGATTTTTATTGTTGAGGTTTATTATGTTGCTGATATATTTGGGATATTAATAATTTGTTGGATAGGTAGTTTGCAAATATTTTTTCCCATTCTGCTGGATGTCTCTCAAGTGTATTGATCATTTCCTTTGCTGTGCAAAAGCTTCTAAGTTTTATATAGTCCCATTTGTTTTGCTTTCATTGCCTGTGCTTTGGGGGCCTTGTCCAAGAAGTTGTCCCCTATGCCAGAGAATTGGAATGTTTCCCCTACATTTTCTTCTAGCAAGTTCATAGGCTCAAGTCTTAAGTTTAGATCTTTGATCCATCTTCAGTTGATTTTTGTACATGGTGATCTTTGTACATATGGATCTAATTTCTGTACATATGGATCTAATTTCATTCATACACACACACACACACACACACACACATCTAATATCCAGTTTTGCCAGCACCATTTGTTGAAGAGGTTATCCTTACTCTACTGTATGGTCTGAACACTTTTGTCAAAAATCAGTTGATTATATGTGGATTAATTTCTGGGCTGTCTATTCTGTTTCATTGATCTGTGTATTGGTTTTTATGCCAGTGCCATGCTGTTTTAATTACTATAGCTTGTAGTATGCTTTAAAGTCAGGTATTGTGATGCCTTCAGCTTGATTTTTCTTGTTTAGGATCGCTTTGGCTATTCGGGGCCTTATGTTACTCCATATGAATTTTAGGATTAAAGATCCTACGTCTTTAGAGAATAGTCATTGTCCATTCATCAGGGATGCATCCTCCTTTAGCCACATGGCCCTTCGTGTTTAGTTCCTTATTATTTATGAAGCCCATAGTAATACTTGTACTTTCTTGACATTGGATTGAGGGTCAACTCATTAAACACTGTTGGGATTTCCAAGCTGTAAAGTATTGAATGCCACTGGTGTCATTTCTCCTTGGGATGTTTCTTTGCTGTACTCTGCCTCAGCTCTGGTCTTTACATCATCATCACTGGATAATCTACCCATGGAAATCTTGAGCAGGGCATTCTTAAGTTGGTAACTATGGTCTATCCTGGGCTCCATTGGATCCCTGAGAATTTTCTTTTTTGTCTGTCTGGGAGAAATTAGGCAACTTAGCCAGGGATTCTTTGAGATATTCTGGGTATGTTCTCCCCACATTTCTGGGAGCTTTTATTTGAGCAAGATTTACTCAAATATGGGCAGTCCAAAGAGGAAGGTTGCTGAGGGATTAGGTGAGCGGGTGCTTGCAGGACTCTTTGGCTCTCCCAACTTTTTTTTTTTTTTTTTTAAGAGTAGTGAGTGATTTTCTTTTAATTTCCCAATAGTAGTGTGAATTCTTCACTTGCCAGATAGCTCTTGGGGCTTTGCCTCCCTCACCCCCCCCCCCCCCCAGGCCAGAGATTCATCTTGGCCAGACACTGCCGCATGCTGAAGAACGAGCCATTTCCAGGAAGGCTGCGAGAGCTGTGGCTCCTAGAAATGGTCCCTTGATTGTATGAGCCAGGCCCTGACACGTCGGACCATCTGGAACATTTTGGACCTGAGCGCCAACATCTGTCTCATGCGTCTTTTTCTTTTCATTTCATTTCATAATCTTTTAAAAAAAATATCTGGGTATTTGACATGCATATTTGTTAGTGTTTTGTACTCCTGCTGCGAGCCCATTTACTGACACATGTGGCTTGTGTAAGAGGGTTACTTTGCAGTTTTCAAGTACTCTAAACAAGGGATGGACTCGGCGGTGCATGTGCTGTGTGTAGCTTGCATTTCACTGCTGAGTTAGAACCGCAGTTTGAATCTTTGCCTCTGCCGTCTTTATGCAGCCTCCTTTTTTCAGTGACCATCAGTCTGCTCAGTTTGAGATGTGAGCAGCTCCAAAATGTGTGACTGAGGAACTCCTTGTTCTGCTGTACCTGTACTTGCCAGCACAGTTCATCTGGTATTGTGATTTTACCCTATGCTTAGGTCAAATATAAAAATGATTTCTGGCTATATGCTAGGCTGAGACATTTTGAGGATTACTTGTGTTTGTGTATTTTCCTGCAAACTAAATAGCTGAATCCCCTTGAACCATTAGTGCTTCAGCCTTTTTTATCTCTTAAATAGCATATAAATTTATTAATGCATTGTGACAAATCAATCAGTATTTTTTATTATCTATGCTATATTAAGCACAGTATTAAATGTAAGGCACATGTTTGCCTGTAGTCTGCTTTGGGAGTTAAGACATGCACACTCAGTAATTAGCAATCAAGATGCTATCATATAGCTCAGTGCAAATCTCTCATAGAGTAATGCATTTTTGTGCATTGAAAAGCAGAGAATTAAAACCTTTTGTTGGCAATTACTAAATGCCTCTCATGTGCCAAAGAGAGGGTTTCAACAGATAAGCAAAGTTTAATATCTAATTTATCAAAGACCCAGGAACATATTGTAATAATGACATTGGGTACAGGCAGTCCCACAAAAAGGTGGAGAAACACGGATATCAAAGTAGGCCATCTTCCAGTCGTTCGCCAAGATGACAGACACAAAGGGGAAAGAGGAGAGGCACCTGATATGTGTTCTCTGGGGCTTTTAGAAAACATGGAGTTTTTCCTTTGGCCATACTTGTGCACATTTACAAAGAAGGTGACATTGTAAACATCAAGGGAACAGGTACTGTTCACAAAGGAATGCCCGTAAAAGTTACCGTGGCCAAACCAGTAGAGTATGCAGTGTTACCCAGCATGCTGTTGGCATTGATGTAAACAAACAAGTTAAGGGCAAGATTCTTGCCCAGAAAATAAATGTGCGTATTGAGCACATTAGACAAGCCAAGATAGCTTCCTGAAACACGTGAAGGAAAATGATCAGAAAAAGGAAGCCAAGAGAAAGGGACCTGGGTTCCACTGACCGCCGGGCTGTTCCGCCCAGAGAGGCCCCCCACTTCGTCAGAACCAGTGGAAAGGAGTCTAAGCTGCTGGAACCCATTCCCTGTGAATTCATGAGATAATAGGTGTAAAGAGAAATAAAAGACCTGGGCTGTAAAAAGCAAAACAGAGTGGGCCAGCTGTGATTGGGAAAATGCGAAGTAGCCGTCAGCACCGCGTCCCTGATGCGGTATGAACTCAGCTCGCAGCTCTGGACCGCGTACACCTCGGAAGGAGTGTGGCTGAAATGTGCTATTATGCCTGCCGTCTCTCAGTCTTGTCTTTCCAGCCCAAGTCCTTTGTTGTTCTTGCCCTCCCTTGTTACTTTAGAGTGATCATTGCTGAGTTCCCTCCGCTGACCTCTGTAGTTCTCGGGTCACGGCTCACCCATCTGTGTAGAAAGCCAGCGTGAGATATGCTGTAGGAAGGCATCTGGTCAGTTCCCCTTGCACACCCTTTGCTGTCCTGTGTGTGTGTTGACCAACCTTGGCTCCTGTGCTCCAGCAGGACCTTGTCAAGTCCACTTTTTCTGGCTCTGCTCACAGGTGCTTCCTCCTCCCTCTCTCCCCCTCCCCAGTTCTTTAGTGAATGGGAGTGTTCTATCCCTGGGAGCTGAGTCATGTTCTATATATATATACACACACACACACACACACACACACACACATGAATATATATATGAATATATATAAAATAGCCAAATAGACATTTATTTATTTATTTTTATTATTTATTTATTTATTTTTTTGACAGGCAGAGTGGACAGTGAGAGAGAGAGACAGAGAGAAAGGTCTTCCTTTGCCGTTGGTTCACCCTCCAATGGCCGCTGTGGCCGGCGCGCTGTGGCCAGCGCACAGTGCTGATCCAAAGCCAGGAGCCAGGTGCTTCTCCTGGTCTCCCATGGGGTGCAGGACCCAAGGACTTGGGCCATCCTCCACTGCACTCCTGGGTCACAGCAGAGAGCTGGCCTGGAAGAGGGGCAACCGGGACAGAATCCGGCACCCCGACCGGGACTAGAACCTGGTGTGCCGGCGCCGCAAGGTGGAGGACTAGCCTAGTGAGCCAAGGCGCCGGCCCAAATAGACATTTTATCATAAAAAATGGCCAAAGATTGACAACGCCATCTAGTTCACCCTAACATATGAAGGAACTTTAAGAAGTTTGTGTAAAATATAATTAGAAAAAAAGTTTATTTTGATACAAAAAAATTTGGAAATTCATGTGTAGTTTTTTCCTAATAGACACTTTCCATGAACCTTTTGAAGACCCTTCATGTCTTACTCATAGAATCTGAACTAGTGGGGCTAGTGCTGTGGTGCAGTGGGTTAAAGCTGTGGCCTGCAGCACCAGCAGCCCACATGGGCACCTGTTCAAGTCCAGCTGCTCCACTTCTGATCCAGCTCCCTGCTAATGTGCCTGGGAAAGCAGCAGAAGTTGGGAAACCTGGAAGAATCTCCTGGTTCCTGGCTTCAGATCAGCTCAGCTCCAGCCGTTGCAGCTATTTGGGGAGTGAACCAGTGGGTGCAAGATCTCTCTCTCTGCCTCTGCCTCTCTCTGTAACTCTTTTAAAAATAAATAAATAAATAAATCCTTAAAAAATAATCTGAATTAGCTTATAGCTTGTTTCTCTTAACAGCAAGTTGTGAGATGGAACTCCAGATGCCACTCTGAGTGATATTCAGGGAAAGCCAGTGCTAAGATGTCTCTCCTATTTCTGTTGCTGCCTAGGTCACTCTGCACCTGAATCCCATCTCCTCAGTCCACATCCACCACAAGCCTGTCGTGTTCCTGCTGAATTCCCCACAGCCCCTGCTCTGGCATCTGAAGACAGAGAGACTTGCTCCTGGGGTTGCCCGACTGTTCTTGGTAAGTGTTTAAAACCCTCACACACTGATCCGTACAGAAGGAAATAGAGACACTAAAACTTTGCAAGGCTTTTGCAAAAGGCTTATTTTCCTTGAAATAATCTCAGCGCCCAAAGAGGGTTGAATTTGGAGTACAAGCTTAGTGGTATTTGGAAGCATAGATCAGCATTCACAGAAAGCAAATGCTGCCCACAGTTCATTTTCTGTGGCGGGAGAATCAGGTCTACTGTGCACATCAGAGCAGGGACCCACAGTCGTACCCTGTGTGGCCTGGGCTTTGGTTTCAGCTCTGAGACCCCCCCTTGTGGCACCAGGAACACTGTAAATGTTGTAAATAGCCGCTGGGTGTGTGGTCTCTGACCGCAAAATAAATATGCACAAGCCCGTCCTATTTGTATATAGCACGGGCCTAATTTCTGATATGAGGATCTGTTTGTTGAGAAAGTGACACAGTGAGCTCCAAAATGAAATCATTTGTATTTTATTAAAAAAAAAGCTGGAGTCCAGCTCTTGTGGAAAGATCCAAATATTACCTACTATTTGTAAATCATGTCCCTTTGACTTTGCCAAAACATTCAAGTTTGCTAGTTGTGGAGAAATAGATGGGTTGTTTGGATGGAATTTTTGTAGTATGATATCATGTCTGATGATGAGCAACACTGCAGCGTGGTAGTGATAACTCACATTGTCTTTGGAGACAGCTGCATGCCCGTGTCCCCACTGCAGCCCTGGGCTTTTAAACCTTGCTTGTCCATAGGCCTTTCAGAGTAGAGTCCTTGGTTCAGGATTTTCTTCTTGCCCAGTGAATAAACTTTGCCTATCAATGACTCTCCAGAGCTGTAGTTTTGTTTCTCCTGTATTTTTAGAGTACTTTTAAAATCTCAAAGGCACCCATTGAATAAAGTAAGTCTCCACAGTCAATACAGTTAGTTAAATGAATAAAGGGGTTGGCGTTGTGGCACAGCAGGTAAAGATGCTGCCTGCAACAACCAGCATCCCTTTTGGGTGCCAGTTAGAATCCCAGCTGCTTTACTTTCTATCTAGCTCCCTGCTAATGTGCCTCAGAAAGCAGCCACAGGTGACCCAAGTGTTTGGGCCCTGCCACCCATGAGGGAAAAGCGGAATAAGCTCCTGGTTCCCAGCTTCCGCCTGTCCCAGCACTGGCCATTGTGGCCATTTGGGGAGTGAACCAGTGAATGGATCTCTCTCCTTCTGTGTATGTGTCTGTGTGTATTTCTTCTCTCTCTCTCTCTCTCTCTCTAAGTCTGCTTTTCAAATAAATAAATGAATCTTAAAAAAAAAAAAGAATAAAAAGGAGAGAAGGAATGTCCCTCTTTATAGTAGAATGTCAGTAAATAAATATCTAAAGAATGGTGGAGTTAGACAGTCATCATTTTGCAACCACCTAGTAAAAGTTGATCTGGCAGGAATCATCAACCTATAGGATGCTTAATCTATAGGATGTGGAGAGAGTCAAAGAACAACATAGTTATATATTCTCCAAGAATCTTTTCCACAGTTACTAAGAAAAAACTGTAACTATGTACAATGGTGTTACTCATTAATACCTTAACCCAGGTGATCAAAGTTAACAGCAAAGAGACATGGTATGCTTGCAAATGAGAAAGGATACAACATCACTTATGTAGACTTCTAGGCCAGAGATGTGTATGATCTGAATCATTCATGAGGAAGCAGTGGACAAGATCAAACTGAGTGGGAATGGGGCCAGTGTTGTGATGTAGCCGTTTAAGCCACTGCCATCCCATATCAGATCACTGGTTCAAGTCTCGGCTGTTCTGCTTCTGATTCAGCTCCTGCTAATGTGCTTGGGAAGGCATCAGAAGATGGTTTAAGTACTTGGACCCCTGCCAGCCACATAGGAGACCAGTATAGAGTTCCCGGCTCTTGGCTTTTGCCAGGCCAGCCCTGGCTGTTACAGCCATTTGGGGAGTGAACCAGCAGATGGATAGTCACTTCCTCTCTGTCTATCCCTCTGTCTCTGTTATTCAGCCTCTCAAATAAATAAAAGCATCTCAAGAAAAAAAAGAAAGAAAAGAAAAAGGAATCAACAGTCACGTGGATAAGTCTGACGTTGACTGGGAAAAAAACATATTGAGTGACATCGTGTAAAATGAAATAATAGACCTATGTTCTTCAAAAATGTCAATCATGTCTGAAAGATCAAAACAAATGTAATTATAAATATATAAATAAAATGCTGGGACGACTTTATTCATATATATGTATACATATACATACACACACACACACACACACACACACATAAAAGGTTGAGATGCCTTCCAGATTAAAGGAGACTAAGAAAGCACATGGAATTCTGAACTGGATCCTCTTGTGTAAGTGATGAGTTGCTATGAAGGACATTATAGGGATATGGGTGAAATTAGAAGTGACCCTAGAAAGTATTATGTCACTGTTAACAGTTCTTGAAGTTGACAGTTGTACAGAGGTTGAATAAATTCTTAGGAAATCTACATAATACCTTAAGTGTTATGGGGTAAAGGGTCAGATAATTCAGGAAAAGGTGATGTATAGAGAGAATAATAAAGCAACTGTGTTGATATGTTAAAAACTGGTAAATTTGTCCATTTGAATTCATTTCAAAATAAAATATTTAAAAATTCAAAAGATACATTTGTGCTGGTGCTGCGGCTCACTAGGCTAATCCTCCGCCTTGCAGCACCGGCACACCGGCTTCTAGTACTGGTCAGGGCGCCGGATTCTGTCCTGGTTACCCCTCTTCCAGGCCAGCTCTCTTCTGTGGCCAGGGAGTGCAGTGGAGGATGGCCCAAGTGCTTGGGCCCTGCACCCCATGGGAGACCAGGAGAAGTACCTGGCTCCTGCCATCGGACCAGTGCGGTGCGCCGGCCGCAGCGCGCTGACCACGGTGGCCATTGGAGGGTGAACCAACGGCAAGGGAAGACCTTTCTCTCTGTCTCTCTCTCTCTCACTGTCCTCTCTGCCTGTCAAAAAAAAAAAAAAATAAATAAATAAAGTTATCTGCTGATGAGATTAATGACTGTGATCATTAAGTCCTAGGTACAGCATACCTTCATACTGTGAACTGGACCAGCCAATTCCTTAGAAGCTGGCTAGGTAGGCATAGCTATTCAGATTAGTGAAAATTTCAAGTCCAGTCCCTTGGCCACACTCTATCACATTTCAGGTACTGAGTAGCTGTGTAAGGAGAGAAGCTACCACGAGGGAGAGGTTATGAGCAAAGGCTTTGACTGTCGTGGTTTGAATCTGGACAGCCACTTTGGACAGATTAATCTTTCGAAGCCTGATTTTTTTCTCAGTTGTAATAAGGGAATAATAGTAGTTCCTCTGTAGTAGTATTATCTTGACTAAATGAGATCACTTGGAAAGTGCTTAGTACAATTCCTGGCACTGATCACTCATACACATCACCCACCAGTGCTGCTGTAAAGAACACACGGGAAGGGTGTTGAATTTACATTTGCAATTATAAAATATCTGGCTTGTCTGGCTCCAAAGTGAAAGAAATTCCTGCTTCTCCAGGCTGTGGGTCCAGGTGAAAAGTGTGGGCTGCATGAGTTGTCCCTAACACTTTCTGCATTCCCTCTATCTGCCACTCCTGGAGTTTTCAGGGAAAGTACCTTCCTCCTGGTTATTATTTATTTGCTTCAGTTTTGTTTAAGAGCTGGAAGAAGTGCTTCCTGGCCATGAGTTTAAGATACACTAACAAAAAAGGAGACAGTTTTAGGAAACAATGTAACATCAACTATTTGGAGTGGACCCCATGTAAAAACATAGTGGATCAAGTGATAACTTAAAATCACCAACCAGGAAAGCAGCATTGGGAGAAGTCAGGGATTTAAATTCCAGGCCACCTGAACTCTGCTCTCCTTGGGGAAGAGGGCTTGCTCCCATCTGCACACATCTTCATGGGCTCGAAGTGGCAGTGGAGCATCTGGTGTTCATTCAGGTTCTCCCACGAGATGACGAGATGACGAGTGATGCAAGCTCCCTCCCAAGCTGGCAGCTCTCCCTGGGCGGGCTCTGCCCTTCCTCTCTCTGTGGCCTGAAATGAATTTCAGTGTCTGCTCATCCCCTTGACAGCACTGGCAGCAGAGGGACCAGTGAGGGATAGAAACCAGCAGTGTGTTCTGTTTATCCATTTATTGTAGTTAAGAGTTGGAGTTTAGGGATAAGATAACAAGTTGTTTTACCTAAAGTGTTCATCAAACACTTCAGAAGGGCTGGAATGTTGGAAGCTGAGGCTTAGCCATGCTGCACTGTCTGCTCCAGGGTTACCTGAAGAGCTGAGGGGGTTGGGATGGGTCTTCTTACTCAGGCCACCTTGTGTGTGTCCTCATCTCTCCCCTGAAACGCTGCTGAGGGATTTGCATTACTGTCCTAAATCTGCCTCTACTGTCCAGGTAGAGTTTTGCTGTTAGTGAGTGAACTTAAACTAATGGCATCTACCTGTCTTCCAGAGTGAGCTTTTAACAGTGGACGTGTCTGTATTGTTCAAACTGTGCAAACTCAACAAGAAAAGCTTTTGTAATTAGTTAGGAGGGCCTTGTGTTACTCAGAACATCTCAGCCGCTCATGAGGGTGACTGCAAACCTAGAAACCTTGCATCAGATACTGTCTAATAGAGGGGCATGTCTTTCTCTCTCTTCATTCCAGTCCTTCCTGAGGTTCCTCTGCAAGAGGAGAGGGAGCAGGTGGTGGTGGTGGTTGGGAGGAACGTGGGGCTTTGGTTTTATCTGCAGGTGCAGTCCCTTTCTTGGGGTCATTGTGGTTACCTAGGAGATGGGAATGGCAAGGGAGGGGAAGTGGGGGGGGGGAGTGATTGTTTCACGCTGAGTTTCTATTTTTTTTAAAAGATTTATTTATTTATTTGAAAGTCAGAGCTACACAGAAAGAGAAGGAGAGGCAGAGAGAGGGAGAGAGGTCTTCCATCTGCTGGTTCACTCCCCAGTTGGCTGCAATGACCAGAGCTGCACC